CCCCCCCACATCCATCAGTCCTCAGTTTTTGTCAGCATTCAAGAGTCTCTCATGGTTTGCCTCTCTTCCTTTCCCCCACCGTTTCCCCTCTTCTCCCCCATGGTCCTCTGTTAAGTTCCTCCTAATCCTCCTATATGTGCAAACATATGATAGCTGTCCTTCTCTGCCTGACTTATTTCGCTCAGCATAACACCCTCGAGGTCCATCCATGTTGCTACACATGGCCAGATTTCATTCTTTCTCATTGCCATGTAGTATTCCATGGTATAGATAAACCACATCTTCTTGATCCATTCATCAGTTGATGGACACAGGCTCTTTCCATGTTTTAGCTATTGTGGAGAGTGCTGCTATGAACATTGGGGTACATGTGCTCCTATGCATCAGCATTTCTGTATCCCTTGGGTGAATTCCTAGCAGTGCTATTGCTGGGTCATAGGGAAGTTCTATTGTTAATTTTTTGAGGAACCTCCACACTGTTTTCCAGGTAAAGCTTTTTTAATCTCTGTGGAAGAGTCAGGCAAAAAACAAACAAACAAAACAGATAAAGAAATAAAGCCATAATGTAATTTCAGAACGTAGTGATGGCTATAAAGAAAATTAAAAGCAAGTTAAGAGGATGGGGCAGTTCCATGCTGTTTAAAGAGCAGTCAGGGTTCTTTCTGGGAAAGTGACATTTGAGCACAGACCTGAATGAAAGGAGGTTTGAGAAGGAGCTGGTGTTTTGCTGACTGACAGGGAGGCCAGTTTCTGCAGCAAGATTTTCCTCAGTGAGCGATGGGAGAGGAGGCCTGAGAGATGGGCAGGGATTAGATCACCAGCCTGCCTAGATTAGGGAAGAGAGAGAGCCTGTTCTAAAGTATTTTCCCCCAACCCTGTGATTTTTTCTTCCTCTTTTTAAACTCCTCCTTTTAAGGAAACAAAGTCATTGAAAATATAGTTTGTTCTTTTTGTGTTTGGTATTTTTAATTAGTTTCCTCATTTTAAATATAAAGGAGTCTGCCAAGTGTCTCTAGAAGTTCCTTACGAAGACACATTCAGATATATGGTATTACTTCTTATCCTTTGTAAATATTTGTTGGTGAGTGGGGTAAGTTAAAGGTCTTAGAATTCTGTGTTGTCTTTAAGCAGCAGATTATCATGTAAACGATTCTGTTTGTCCGGTCCTATCTCCTGGGACTTTTGAGAATATTTTAATATGTGAGTAGAAATTCTAGTTTATGGGCATACACCTTCTTTGTATAATGGTTTTCTCATTTTTCTCTTGGTCCTTGATTTTCATTTTTAAATCTGCTACATCATTCACATCCTCTTCACATAACACTCAATATGAGTAAGAAGGAAACATGTACATCCTCCTTAATGGTAGAATATAAATATTTTTGCTTGTGACAGAGTCAGCCCCTGGTTATGCCCCAGGTGGTAGGCAGCTTCTTGGCTCCAATTATTCTGCTTCTTGGTAATTCCCTGCCCTTGAGTGTGGGCTGAACCTCCTTCAAACAGAGTATGGTAAGGTATCTTTTTATGGCTGCCAAGAAAGATTCTGACTCCCCAGCTGCTTGTTCTCTCTTTCTCTCTTGCTAGCTTGCTCCAAGGAAAGCCAGCTGCCATTCTGGGAGCTACCCTGTGGAGAAGCCCACAAGGAACTGAATCTATGTGTCCAATAACCCTTGAGCAACTGCTAATAACCAAATGAGTGACTTTGGGAGCAGTCACCCCCAGGATGAACCTGGAGATGACTACAGCATTGTGAGAGACCCTGAACCGGAGAACTAGGCTAAGCTGCAGATTCCTGACCCATGGACACAAAAGGTAATACACATATGTTGTTTTTAAGCCAATACGTTTTTCTTCGTAGAATAAGTAATATAATAATTGGTACCCTAAATGTTTGATTAAATTTACCTGTACTCTAAAAATAGCGTCACAGTCCCTAATGGTGAGTTTTTCAGCCTTCCTTGTTTCATGTTTCCTTCTCCCATTCAATGTACACAAGACTTCTCACCAGCATATGTTTTGTTCTACACTTGAGTCTTGTCTGACCCTTTCCCTCTCATTTTTAGGATTTAGCAATTGAGATGACATTTCCCCCCACCCCACCCCCAGTTTCTCTGGCATCCTTAAAAAGTAGCAGCAGTTACTCCTGTGTCTTTCTCTTTTTCTTTTCTTTCTTTATTTTTTTTTTTTGGAGATAGAATTAACATAAAACATTACACTTGTTCATTAGTTTCAAGTACACAACATGATGACTCGATATTTGAATATATTGCAAAAAGATCACCACAATATGTGGTTATAGTCAACATGATGTACATTATACTCCCAGGACTTATTTATTTTATAACCGGGGAATTTATGTACCACTTTTGACTCACTTCACCTATTTTGCCCACCTCCCATCTCCTGTGATAGCTACCAGTCTGATCCCTATATCTATCCATTCAGTTTTTTTTATATATATCACATGTAAGTGAGATCATACAGTATTTGTCTTTCTTCCTGAATTACTTCACGTAACATAACACCCTCAAAGTCCATCCATGTTGCTGCAAATGGCAAGAATTCCTTCTTTTGAATAGATGAATAATCTTCCATTGTGTATTTATAGCACATTTTCTAAATCCATTCATCCACCAATGGACACTTAGGTTGCTTCTGTGTTTTGGCTATTGTACATAATGCTGCAATTAAAGTGGGGTTGCAGATGCCTTTTCTAGTTGGTAGTTTTGTTTCCTTCAGATGAATACCCAGTAGTGGAATGGCTGAGCCATATGACAGGTATATTTTTAATTTTTTGAGGAACATGCATACTGTTTTCCATAGTGGATGAACCAATTTAATTCTCACCAACACTACACAAGGGTTCCCATTTCTGCATGTCCTCACCAACACTTGCAGTTTCTTGTCTATTTTATAATAGCCATTCTAACGTGTGAGGTGATATAGTAGTTTTCATTTACCCTTCTTCATTCTCCTTGATGATTAGTGATGTTGAAGATGTTTTTATGTAGTTATTGACCATCGGTATGTCTTTGAAAAAATCTCTGTTCAGATCCTCTGCACATTGTTTAGTTGGATTATTTGTTGTTATGCTATTGAGTTATATGAGTTGATATATTTTGGATATTAACCCCATGTCAGATACATGATTTGCAAATATTTAATACTATTTGGTAGGCTGCCTTTTCATTCTGAGATGGTTTCCTTTACTGCACAGAAGGTTTTTGGTGTGATATAGCCCCACTTATTTATTATTTTTGCTTTCATTGCCTTTGCTTTTGATGTGAAATCCAAAAAATTGTTGCCAAAACCAATGTCAAGGAGCTTACCACCTATGATTTCTTCTAGGATTTTTCAGGTTTCAGGTCTTACATTCAAGTTTTTATTCCCTTTTGAGTTAATTCTTAGGTATGGTTTAAGATAGTGGTTTTGTTTTGGGACTCCTGGGTGGCTCAGTCGGTTAAGCATACAACTTCAGCTCAGGTCATGATCTCACAGTTTGTGAATTTGAGTCCCGCATCAGGCTTGGTGCTGACATTTAAGAGCCTAGAGCCTGCTTTGGATTCTGTGTGTGTCTCTCTCTGACCCTCCCCTGTTCTCTCTCTTCCTTTCAAAAATAAATAAACATTAAAAAAAAAAGATAGTGGTTTTATTTCGTTCTTTTCATGTGGCTGTCCAGTTTTCACATTATCATTTATCCAAGAGACTGTCATTTCCCTTTGTATATTTGCTCCTTTGTAATAAATTAATTGACTATATATGCATGGATTTCTTTCTGGGATCTCTATTTCTTTTTTTTTTTTAATAGTTTACTGTGAAATTGGTTTCCATATAACACCCTGTGCTCATCCCCACAAGTGCCCTCCTCCATGCCCACT